ATTTTTTGCTTTAGCAAAACTTAATTTAAAATTTACTCTTTTATGTTAGTTACAAACCAAAAAAACAAAGTTTATTTTTGAAAGATTGAATAAAAAAATTATTTTCCATAACATGGCTGAAAAATATTAATAAGTTAATAATACACAAAACACATGCAGACAACTGCCCTTTAGGATGATACCAAATCTGTGTGTGTGTGTGTATATATATATATATATATATATATATATATATATATATATATACACACACATTAACTATTGTAGTTTTTTTTTACTTTTAACAAGACACACTTACTCAAATATCTGAATAAATAAATAAACTTTTTGTCAAATAATTGTATTTAATATTCTCCTTTTGAATTTACTTTGTTGTTTCAATATTCATTTTTTTTTAAAGTTACTTTTATTTACTACAGATGTGAAAATAAATTCAAGAGAATAGAAATTTTAAAAATACATATATAGTATTTCAAAAGTATCAGTAGAATTAAAAAGTAAAAACAAATGGTAATAATAAATCAGGAATAAGAATTATTACTGTTTGTTTTTACTATTTAATTCTAAGAATTTTGAATGTATTCTAGTATTGGTTTAGTTTGGTTTGTTTTGGTTTTACGGCATATCAACCTGAATGGGTTATTTAATGCCGACAATTTTTATTGTTGGTTATATATATATATATATATATATATATATATATATTTTTTTTTTTTCAAAAATATATTGCTGGTAATATTTGGTTTTCAAAAATGTATTGCTGCTAATAATTTTTTTTTTTCTTTTTTACAAAGTATTTCTGGTATCAAAACCCATTTTTACACCTACGTAGTGTTTTGACCCCAGTTACAATTCCATTGAATAAGGTTTTGCATCTTGATTATGTATTACAAATTATGAATTTTTACATGTCCAGTATTTTTTGTTTTTTTTTTTATATATGGGTGAAGTGTCTATCATTTCTATATACTTCTGACTATTAGCATTTTGTTTCTTGTTATGTTTTGTTCTTTGAACTTCTTTTGCTTTTTACTCCCTTAGTTTTACCATTCGGTTCTTTTAATGAACTTTGTCTAGATGATCTTTCCCTTGTTTGTGATGGGCTACAGTTTTATTCCTCTATGTCCATTTTCCTTGATTCTTCAATAACAGTTTCATTTTTTTTTTTGTATCTTTTCATTCTCTTGGATTTTATTTTTTTGTTTTGATTTTTCGGGTTTAATAGTTTTGAAGATGTAGAATCATTTTTGTTTGCAGTTGATGGTATAGAGGCTTGTTTTTCCATTAGGTTCTTTAATGATCTTTGTATAGATGATGACTTCTCTTGTTTGTGATGAGCTAAAGTTTTGTTCCTCTATGTCCATTTCTCTTGATTCTTCATTAAAAGTTGAGATTTTTGTTTTTTATGTACCTTTTGATTCTCTTGAGAATATTTAGGTTTCTATTTCTTGGATTTTTGTACTTTGGTTTGGAATTTTCGGATTTAATTGTTTTGTACATGTAGAGACTTTTTGTTTGAGATTGACAGGACAGGATATTTTTTGTCTATGGGCGTTTGATTTAGGAGTGATATACTACATTCTAGTAATTCTACTAAACTTTTTAATTTGTTAATAAAAGTTATAAGATCTTGGCTTCTTAATGCATTGTTTTCTTGGATGACTTTTGTTGATTTGATCTTTTAGTGATATTTGCATATGATGCTTGAAGTAAATTAGATTCAACCTGTTTCCTGGCTTCTTGGAATGAGATATTTTGCATGTATTTTCTTCTAATTATTTCCTTTTTCCAAATGTTACACTCTTTGGAGTCTGCTGAATGTTTTTCTTTACACTTTGGACATAAAGAAGGCCTTTCACAAGGTGATTCTTCATGCTCAGTTTCTGGTTCCCCACATCTTTGACAGACTGATGTTCTCGTACAAACATTTTGAAAATGACCAAATTTTTGATATGACATCTACGGGGATTAGGAATATATGGCTCTACCTTGGCTATTGTGTAACCTATCTATTTCTTTTGGTAGAGTCAGTTTGTCGAATGTTACAATGTATATGTTGTTGTTTATTGCAGTGTCATTTCTTTTTACTTACATTTTTTTTTAACATCTGTCACTCCTTGCTTTTTTTTTGGGGTGTCATCATTTTCAATTTCTTCTGATGAACAAAGTGACAGTTCTGGGCATTTTATTACTCCTTTTGATGAATTAAGAAATTGATGGGGGTAGGCCTTAACTTTATTGTTGTCAATTTGATTGATTATTTTAACAATTTCTGTCTTTTTTGGATATCACTTGAATTAATAGAGTATTATTTCTTTTTTTTTTTTTTTTTAACAGATTGTGGTTTGATCGTGTCTGAAATAACCCTTTGCAACACAAAAGGAGACACTTTTGATATATCACCCTCTACTGATTCTACAACAATAAAAGTTGGAAATTGATATTTTTTCTATTTCATTTTCAGAAGTCTCATATTGTCTCTTGGTTCGCTTATAAGAAGTAGCCATATAATTTTAATTTTTGTATTCACTGTCTGTGCTCTCCACCCACTTTGGAGTTCCTTCTTAAGGGACGCTATCGGGAGGACTAATCCCATTCACCCTAATCTACCAAGGCTACACAGACAGTATAGTTGTGATGAGAGTGGATACGAGCACCTGCACTCCCCCACCATATCTACCCAAGTATAGTATGATGTAAGGTTTCATGGCCTTGTCGGACCCATTATCTATCATTCCAACTAGCCCTTGCCACTATGTGACTAGCCAAAGCGGTTAATGCTGCTCAAGCCCAAGATGACTGCATTAGAGACACGTTCATTACAGGTTTGTGCTTTAATTCCATTTGCCAGCGTCTTTTCCTTGATCTACACACAGCAGTGAATCAAGCCAGAGCTCTATATCTAGCACAGAAACACTGAATCATATTCACATCTGCTCTCATCAACTGTGGGAGCCATGCCATCAAAAAACAAAGATTCATTTGTCAGCAATGCATGTGCATTAAGAAGCGCTAAATGTTATTTTTGTTATAGATCACAGTCGTAAAGTGTGCCTGGCTAGAGAGGGCACATATCACAAATACAGATAAAGGGGAGACTTTTCCAAAGTATGTCAGCCAGTTGGTACTTTGATCACCTCACTTACTCAATCTTAAACATTGGCGACCACTATGCTACCTAATTTATTAAAATAGGTTATGGACACTGGGAGTGCTGTATCCTTTATTTTGCTCAACTATGTGAAAAGACACCAAAAATAAAACCTGCATTTGGGAAGGTGTCCATGACTTCATCGTCCCTTAACACTTCAATAAAAGGGCAGTGCACTGCCAATTTAAATTTATTAGGTGAGTGGTATTTGTGTCCTTCCCAATCTTTGTAGTGGTATATTTCTCAGGCAAGACTTCAGGAACTGACATTCAAGTGTATATTTTGCATTTGGCAGTCCTAAAAAAAAAAAGCCTATCTATTTTGAGTTCAACTGATTGTAGCCTACCATCTACAATGGTAGAGATACCTCTATTATTTTCAAATCCCGATCCTAACTGCAAACCTATTTCTGCAAAATCTAGGTGATTTGGAACTGCTGATAAACACTTTATTAAAACTGATGTTAATAAAATCTCAGTGGAAAGTTATTCTACCTGCAGTACTGCATGCCATAAGATCTCTACTCATTAACACAACAAACACCACACCCTACAAAAGAATATTTTCATATCAATGATGGTTACCTAGTGTTCATTTTTTGCCCACTTGGCTAGCAGCCTCTGCTCTGGTTATCTCATGTCAGAATGCCCATGCTAATAAGTACAAACCTTTAGTCAACAAGGCTCAGCTGTTAGATGCCAATCTCCAATTGCCCATGTAAGATTTAATGATAGACACAAGTCTACAGTATCTGTGCATGATTTGGCCCCAGTTGGGCAGAAATACAATCAAGGAGAACCAAAAATTAGAAGACAAGATACTCTTATGGAATACAGCACTACAAAAGTGGAGGAACCAGGTTCTGTCTTCATGCAAGAAATGGTTATTTATTTGTGCGTGCATCATCTTGTTGCATCTCACGATTCTAGTGGTCCATTTGCAATTCCTCAGTAGGCACCTCAATGCGGCATCAACAGACTGAATCGATTACAGGTAATTTTCCTCAGATTTTTGTTTTTCTGGCTTTATTTTAATGGTGTGGTGCACCTCATAGGTGCAGCAGAAGATGACAGCAGGTGAGGCGGAATGATTGAAAAACAATCATATATTTAGAAACAGTTTCAAAAAATTCATATAACAAAAGTAAATGATTTCAAAATGCGATATTTTTGTATTATATCAAGTGTTAAGAATATAGTAACTAGGGTTCACAAATTGGAGGAGAGAGTTATCAATGATAATGTTCTGACTTCAAATCTGCAGTTATTTCCCTTTAACTCAAATTCGTTTTTTTTATTTTTAAATGTACTTTTTATCGTATAAAATTTGGTGAGGTGCAAGAAAGTTTTCATTCTGAAAATGCTGCTCAGAGAAAAATTTGGGAACCTATGCCTTAGATAATCCACCCACAGCCAAGATTTCATGCCTATGAAGTTCAAACTACCTCTCTCTCAGCTTGGGTCATGTGATGCAACAGTTTTAGTAGCAAGTGAATTTTTATAGGGCTGGGTGGTAATCCAGTGCCAAGGATGGACTGCCTTTCAGATCTAAAAAGGTTCCAACTACCTATTTACCTATAGCTGCAGAGGAGTTTAAGTGAATTTTTACAGTGCTGTTGTGCTAATCCAATGACAAAGGAGGGACTGTTGTACAGGGCTTTGTTTGACTATTTATTCATAGCTTCAGGGGAGAATTGGAAGCATGCCTTTTCCAAGTGCATGCAAACTATCCTTAGTTTATCAATTCTATATTCTGTGCCATTAAGTTATAAAACAAATATACTGATAAAAAAAAAAAAAAAAAAAAAAACATTTGAGAACACTTTATAAAAGTAAGTAATACATCTTACCTGCTTTCACTTGTTAAGCTCTGGAAAAAAAAAAATTAATGAATAAAAATAAAACAAAATTCGTATGAAACATTTTCAAATTAAAACATTCAATATCCTTTTTTTGAATAAGGAAGAAGTGAAGAAAAATGGAACAGAAGATTTGAGGAATTCATTTTCCAGGTTATTTACAGCCAAGAAGTGTTTTTTAGATTGTAAGAATTTTTGTTTTTGAGACAATAATGGTTTTAGCGATACAAGTCTTACTAATTAACCCATAGCTGGAGGAGGAGAAGTGGATTCATACCATTCTCAAGAGTATTTGCACCTAAGTGAATATAACAAATCCAACCGGAATTGGAACTCGGTTCTCCAATTAACAATTCTGAGCCATTATCCATTCCAGGACCTGCACATCCAAGCTTACAGCACTTGGTATTCCCAAGCAGTCACCTTCTGACATTGCTTAACTGTGGTAATGGTTTCAAATGCAACATTTCAGCCTCGTTTTCTAGCTTAATAAAATCTTGTATGCTGGTAAAACTTTAAAAACTAAGGCATTCATATTAAAAAATGATATGTTGAACTTATTGGGCATAGACTGGATAGAAGCCTTCAGTTTGTGGAGACTGCCAATTAATTTGTTCTGTAAAAAAGTGAATTACTCCTCCCCCAAAACAAGTATGGTGACAAAGTTTTTTTTTTTTAAAGGAGTTAAAAAACAATTTTCCAACAGTGTTCTCTGAAGGTCTTGGGAAATGTAGTAAAGCAAAGGCAATTTTTCACTTGAAGGAAAATGTAGTTCCTGTTTTTAAACCTAAGTGAAATTTGCCTTATGCAGTTGTAGAACCCATTAAAAAAGAACTTGACAAATTAGAAACTCTAGGAGTTATTTCGACCACAGATTATTCCAAGTAGCTCCAACAGTGTATGTAGAAAAAGAAAAATAATTTTCTACAGAGTTAAATGATGGGTGTCTACTACCTCAAACATATCTATTACCATCCCCAGAAGAAAATTTTTCTAAATTAAATGGCAAAAGATTTTTTTCAAAAATTGACCTGTCAGATGCATACTTGCAAATTGAAGTGGATGAAAAATGTATTGTTAACAATTAACACACACAAGTGGCTCTAGAGTCTTAATAGGCTAGCATTCAGGGTCAAAGTGTCACCTAGCATTTTCCAGCAAGTAATGGATACAGTACTAGCTGGCTTAGATTTTGTTGTTGAATAGAAGATTACAGGTTCAAACTCAGTGAGAAGAAATGATCATTTTTCAGGAGCAATATAAAATACTTGATACAATTGATGCAAATAGATGTAAACTAGACCCATCAGGGTCGAGTGCCATTAAAAATATGCCTGCCCCAATGAACATTGCTACTTTACAATCATTTCTAGGGCTCACAAACTATTACAATCTTTATGTGCCAAACATGCATAAATTGAGAGTCCTTTTGAAAGAATTATTGAAAAAAGGTGCGATTTGGAATTGGTCCAATGAATGTCAAAAATCCTTTGAAGATATAGAACATGTTAACATTCATATCTTTCCCAAAGATATTTGCATGCAAGTGAATATAATGAATTTTACTGGAATTGGAACTTGGCTCTCTGATTAGGTGACAGACATGTCAGTTCTCTAGTGGATTTGGGACCTTTTCCACATTTTGTGTATGTGTTTGTAATTGTTATTGAGTTTATATGGGAGAGCAGTTGGTAGAGTGAACGGTTTTATGTTTATTCAGTCCTGCATTATTTTTGTCCGGTGAACTAATATTTCTGTTGCAAATTTAGGATTGTGTGTGTGTTTGTCTTACTAAAAACAGTTTTATTTAGTTTTTGCAAATTTTATTTATTTATTTTTTTTTGTTTTGAAAATACACATTGAAAATAGATTGTTATTTTCATGCCACTCCCCTCCCATAGACAAAAACTGTATATATGGGAACTAGTTAGGACTCCTGAAGAGAATGGGGCGTTTTGGTGACTGTGGTGCATGTGGTATGCAGGCGTGTAGCATTATGGCGAATGGAACATTATCGTACGAGTTGGTCAGTGATTGAGACTAGCTCAGCTAAATGTAAAACAGATAAAGACCAGCCACCTCCTTCCCCCAATTTCAGCCTCATCATATTTGATGTAGATTTTCATCAATCAATATTATGTATTTGAAAAAAAAAAAAAAAAAAAAAAAAATTTCTGCTTGAGGTTGCTTGATAAAAGTAATGGCAGTGTTTAATCATTGTACATGCAAAAAAAAAAAAAAAACGAGGTGTCAAACGGACAGTTATTCCTTGACACTGCTTTACTGTATACACTATAAAGTCCTTTCGCAATGTTTGTTTTAAAAAGTTAGGATTAGAATTTTAATAAAACCCAACCATATGAAACTAGATTTATACATTTTCTTTATTCTTGAGAATTGACAGCAAAGATGTTAGACACTATTAAACTACTTATTTGCAAGAATAATTTTATATTTACATAATTATAAAAATATGCAAACCAACTATAATGAAATATTATTTACCATTTTATAAAGAAATAAATATGAAAATATTTTCTTTTATTCATAAATTTATAAAAATATTCGAACAAGAAAATTTAAATAAACACCTGACTAATAACAGTGTAACTATAAATTTTGAAAAAAATGTGTTTGAGGTATTTTTTCATTTGCACTTGCCACTTAAATTCACTAAAATAGGTTGAGAGCATCTCTTCCTTTGAACCAAACATTTTAATTTACATTTATCATATGTTTATTCAAATTTTCTTCTATAGTTATTTATAAAATGTTAAATAATAAATACTTTGTAATTGGTTTACAGATTTTGATAATTTTGTCATCTTTTTAATAAATTTTTTAATAAAAAGATTGCTTTTCAAATTTATCTCTTTATAAACGGTAAATAAATATTACATTACTTGGTTTACAAATTTATATAATCTAGGAAATAAAAATTCCTGAGGGAAATGAAAAGTGTATGCAGTGTCAAGGGAATAACTATCCTTTTGACACTTTTTTTTTTACCAGACACAAAGGTTAAACATTCCTAAAGTAATAATCAACAGGAGTAGATAGGTATGCTTATTGCCAGTTTCACACTCGTCCCCAGGTTTCTGAGCAGGTGTAGAGGTTTATTTATTGTGTCCTGTTAGGATTGGGTTTCTGGTTCCATCTAAAATCTACTTCAACTCTATACTTCTAATGTATCCACTTGAACTCTAAAATTTTTTTTTTTTTTTTTCCTTCTCTCAATAGTAGATATGTTTGCCCATCATCCAGTTCATAATCCTCCCTGGTCTTTTAAACAGGGAGTAGAGGTTTATCCCTTGTTTCCAGTTTAGGATTTGATTTCTAGTTCCTTCTAAAGTTTTTTTTTTTTTTTTATTCTTTCACTCCCAGTAGCCCCTTGAGTCTTAGTGGTATTATCATCTTGCTTGGAGCAAATTGATTTAAAAAAAAAAAAAAAAAAAAAAAAATGTTGCATCTGATTTCTCTCTCTCACTCACATGCACACGCATTCACTCACTCACATGCACACGCATTCACTCACATGCACACGCATCTTCCAAAATAAAATGAAAAATATTGGAAGATAACAAAAGAGAATACAAACTAAAAAAACCCAAAAACCAGCCAAAGTAGAAAATTAAAAACAAAATTTGGCATACTCACAAAAACATTTATTAGTCAAGTATATTGTCTCCATTGTTCTACAAATTCATTTTTGTAGAAACTTTGTGCTTTTTATTGGAACAATGTTGTGGGGTAGTTTTCAGTGACAATTTTTTGTCATTTAAATTGTTCTGTAGAGACTGGAACAAATCAAAATCCGAAGGAATAGAGTCAGGAGAATATGGTGGGTGCTGAAGGCTTTCTTCATTTCTCTAAGCTCCTGCAAGGTCCGTCTTGCAACACATGGGCTTGTGTTTTTGTGGTACAAAAATGACACCTTATCGATCTCACAAAATTGGAGATTTTTGTTGAATCCAATTCTCTTCAAATCATGAAAGACAACGGAGATATCAATTTTCAAACTTTTAGCAATCCCTTTAGTTTATTCTCCATGATGGCAAACAAAAGGTTGCCTGCAGAATGGTTGAAATTAAATCTGACAAACCACTTTCTGACCATCCAAATAAATCTTTTGTTTTTTTGTTGCAATTTTGACGCTTACTACATTCCAAAATTCATAGAACATAATATGGCAAAAGTTAAACTTTTCATCCTCCACATTTAAGGCATTCATTTGTGGACAAAATGTCAACATTCAACAAAATCTGACTTGCAACTGAACGATGAAAGATTTCAATCTAGAACACACCAGAAATTGGAACCAAAACAAAACTAATATTAGGTTGCAGTTATTTTATATTAATAAAGAAAATTGGGCATAAACTTTAGCAATGATCTGATATAAACCATTTTCCTGTAATGATTACCAATTTTAGAATAAAAAAAGTACACTAACCTCTTTTAATGGAGTTTTACAAGCAATAAACGGTGTTCCAGGTATTACCTGTCCAATGTTGGAATAATCGAGCCACCTGATGAAAAAAAAAAAAAATGTAAACTTTTAACTATTTAATACACAAACTCTAATACAAGATTTTAATTTTTTCTTAAGATAATGCAATAACACATGACAGTTATGTATGGAAAGTGAAATTAATGGGCAGGGTTCAAATCCCAGCATAGACTGTTGTGTTCACTTTTGGACTAATGCTTTTGGGGAAGGGCATGAATTGGTCAATTTTGTTTAGCAGCATATCAACACCTCTATGGGTTATTTAATGCTGAAATCTATATATTTTCAATACAATTGTATGCCTTCAACTACAGATAAAATGTATTGCTGGTAATTCTATTATAAAATATGTATTTTTATATTTTCATTGTGCCTCGTCTTTGTTTGGGGGGGTTCACTATTTGCTCATAGCAGGGGTGGACCTGGGAACAACAGAGGCAGTTACATGCTCCTCAAAACCTCCAATCTCCCAATCAGAAGCCTTGCTGCCAGATGCATGAATACATCTCTACAACACCCAGCTATGGATTAAGTAAAAATGAACTGGGATATTTAGCCTTGGGTGGCAGTCAGTTTACTCTGAATTCAAAGCAATGAAAAAGGAAATGGGAAACTACACCACTGCTTTTCCCAAGAAATCATGGCAATTCATAGATAAGAAAAAAAGAATCTGGATTGCTTGCATCCTGAAGTGACATGAGATTTAAGAAAATTGTTACTACTTCTTGGGAAATACAGTGGAGTGGTTTCTGTTACTTTCTCCATGGTTCTGAATTCAGAATTCTCCTTCTCTCAAAATAGTTGTTACCCAAATCTCAAGAGCTACCTGGATATTAACAGATTTACCTCAATTAATGTGAAGACTTGGAAATTTTGATACACACAAGGTATATTGAAAGCAAAAAGGATGGTGGAAAGCAGCAAGCAAGTTAATGAGCTTGATGGTAGAAGAGATTGTTTTTTTAATCATTTCACTGCAAGCAAGGCAATAAAGCCACTAAGAGACAGAGTTACTGAATGTGAAGGAATCTGACAAAAAAAAAAAAAAAAAAAAAACTCATTAAGAGAGGCCAATAAAAGATGAGAAATTAAGCAGACAGAAGTTGACTGACATTGCATTTAAATTTTTGAAGATCAAATTTGATTGGAAAGCAAGAAGAGGGAGAGGGATGGTGAAAAACCTTATTGAGCTACAAAGAATAAGAAGTTGTGGAGAGTCATAATTGCCCTCTGAAAGGATATGGCATAAAACAGGAGTATTGAGAAAACTTATTGTCACTTAACCTCCAGTGTAAGCTACAGTTGTTAATATTCAAGAGTAAATTATTGTACATATATAAAAAACTTATTTTCATCAAATATGAATCCACAGCAGCTGTGATAATGTTGGGCACTAAGCAAAACGAGATAGCCCTTCCTTAAATGGTCTTTTTTAAAAAAAATGATGTTAGTTCAGCAGACTAAAAACAATCATCTAAGACTAGGCATCTGCTGAAGAAGGCTGGAGTGTACATCGGCCAAAATATTTAAGAAGCAATAAAATATGAGGAAATAAGTATATAAGAAAATTAGAAATGATTATTTTATCCAACAATTTTACAAATATTTCCAGATGTTACAGATTTCTTTGTCGTTAGGCAATTTCACCAACAATCTACGTGGTGGTATTTTCTTTTTTAATAAATCGCCATTTTTGCAATAATGGGCATTGGTCTCTCTGAAAGTAAAATTATTATTTTAATTAGTAATGATACCTTGCGCTAGTAAAGTCGAGAAGTCAATTCTTTTGTTACTTTGTAGATTTAAGTGCAAGATTTTTAAAAATACTGAATTAAAAAGAGAAATGACCCTTGCGTAAAAAAATGAAATCCAGTGTTTTTAATTTTTAGTTCCATGTTCCACAATACGTTTAAAAAAGTAAGATATTTTTTAAAAAAATATTACGTCTCCACAAATACACAGATAAATAGTTTAATAATAATCCTATAAGAAAAAAAATAATTGTTCATTGTGAAAAACCAACAGGTTCAATTTTTTTACTCAGTAATAAGTTGTCTCCACTCACGTCACTGAAATTTAAAGAAATAAAATACGAATGACTAAGAGTATCCATTTTATTATTTACCAGTCAGATTTACAGTTAAAATTTCTACAATAAACGAGTGATTTAAAGTTTAAACTAAAGCATTATGCATGTTTACCATTTGAGACATATGTTATTAAAAAAATATAAATAACTAGAGAGAGACTTCTTAACCAAACTGAAGAAACCCGATGAGAAAATTTACAAAGAAAAAAAACAAGCAATAAATAATTGAAAAATAATAAGAAAAAACAACAAATAGTTTGTTTTCGTTTAAAATATCCTTTCGAAGCCAAAACGTAATGAATACGGGTGGAAATAATAAAATATTAAGATTTTAAAAATAACTTACCTGTCAGGAACAGTTTTCATCTTCACAAAAATGATAAGCTTTTTTTTTTTTTTTTTTTTTTAAAATATCGCCGGAAGTGGATTCTGCGCATGACAATTTAAAGCGAGGTAGTCACTATATAAAAACAGAGCTTGGGTCTGGGATTTCACACTCAGTGATTTTTCAAACTTGAATAGTTTTCACCCCCTATACCAACAAACGAAGAAATGTCTGCTGCTAGTTTAGTATCAGCCTTACGACAGTCATTTAATTCAGGAGTAACCAAAACAGCTGAATGGCGCCGTACCCAGCTTCTGGGCCTGCTGAAGCTTATCGATGAAAACACTCCGGATATTTTATCCGCCCTAAAAAGTGACCTCAACAAGTGCGAATTTGAGAGTTTTCTCTTTGAGATTGATATCACCAGAAATGATATCGTCAACCACCTAAACAATTTAACAGACTGGATGAAACCGACGTCTGTGAAAAAGGGTCTCTTTTTTACTTTAGATACCTGTCAAATTAAACCCGAACCCTTTGGGGTTGTACTGATAATTAGCCCATGGAATTACCCGCTTCACTTAATACTAATGCCATTAATTGGGGCTATTTCTGCTGGTAACTGTGTTTTTCTGAAGCCTTCCGAACTTGCTCCTTCCACCGGGAATTTGATAAATAAGTTAATACCGAAGTACTTAGATGAAAACTGTTTTAAAGTAATGCTTGGAGGCGTGGATGAGACGACGCAAATACTCTTAGAACGTTTCGATCATATTTTGTACACTGGAAGTACTAACGTAGGAAAGATCGTTATGAGTGCTGCTGCAAAATACCTTACTCCAGTTACTTTGGAATTGGGAGGCAAGAACCCTGTTTATGTGGATAAAAACTGCAATTTACAAACCGTTGCTAATCGAGTCATGTGGGCAAAATGTGCTAACGTCGGACAGACCTGTATTGCCCCGGATTACTTAATGTGTTCTCCTGAAATCCAGGCCCCTCTTGTGGAAGCGATGAAGGCGAGTGTAACAAAATTTTATGGGGAAGACATTGCTAAATGCGATAGTTACGGACGAATTATCAATGATAAGCACTTCAAGAGAATCCAAAGCTTGCTAAAAGACCAAACCCCGGCATTTGGAGGAGAAACGAATGAAGCAGAAAGGTTTATTGCACCGACGGTCATAACAGATGTTAAAAAATCCGACTTGATTATGGAAGAAGAAATATTCGGTCCAATTCTCCCTGTGATGCCCATGGATAATGTCGACGAGGTCATCCGCTATATCAACGACCGAGAAAAACCCCTCGCGGTTTATGTCTTCTCCAATGACAAAAAGATAGTGGACAGATTCTTAGTTGAAACCACCAGTGGCGGTGTCTGTGTAAATGATTGTATCTTGCAAGTGGCACTGGAAACCCTTCCTTTTGGTGGGGTCGGAAACAGCGGTATGGGAAGTTACCACGGAAAATTCAGCTTCGACACTTTCTCTCACAAAAAAGCCATAATGTGGAAAAGTCAGGGACTGGAGTCTCTCAACGATCTTCGTTATCCTCCATTCACGACCACAAACCTCAATTGGATTCGGAGATTAACAAGGAAAAGTCTCAAACGTGGGTCCCTTTTCATGATTTCATTAATGAGCGTAGGATTACTTGGGTTGATATCTATTTTTATTAAGAAATCTGACCTTCATCAGATGTTGAGATCGAAGTAAAAAGTAAACTTCATAAAGTTAAATTTCTGGATCTCTTGTAAAATTTATTTAGAACTTGAATATATCCAAACTTCCAAAGTAACTTCAATTCATCACCATGTGTAGCTTTGTCTAGTGTAAAATAATTTTCTACCATTTTTTTTTAGTTTTAAATTCATGCTTTAACTAAAACATTTAAGTCTAAAAATTGGTAGATTAATTTTTTTTTTTTTTAATAAATTACTTTAAATAATTACTAGTGTAGGCGGTAGACCTGATAGTATAAAGTAAAAAAAAAAAAATAGTTCTGCTGTGTTATACTTACTCTTAGTGTTATATGCTTTCTATTTCTTAAATCTTTAGATTTTGTTTTCCTAAGAATTTCAGTAGAAAAAAGTTCTGTCTAGTTCGTAGACGGTAAATCTAGTAGTCTGATTAGGATTGAATTAGGTGATGGATGATTTTTGACTGACCTAAGTAACAACGTTTAAGTGAAAAATGTATATACGTTTAAAAAAACAAAAAAACGAACCCTTCCTAATAGAACTAAATATGATTTTATTTTTAAGACACTTGTACACACAACCTTGGCAAGACACTTTCTTCCTGCCATTCTGGCAAGGAATGCTTTTTTTTTTTCTCTAATAATTCGGATGTCTATGTTTAGTTATGTAACATTTGAATGAAATTCATTAACAAAATAAATCAAACTAGTTTTTAAAAGTTTATGACGATTATCGTAGGCACACTCCTAAAACAATTCGAGTATCTGATTTTGACCCTCACTTTAACTAACACTAACAGCTATTATGGATCTTTTTCTAAACTTAGACTAGGGATAAACTTACTTCACCATCAAATTAAAAAATTCTAATTACTAAACTAAAAAAAAAAAATATAAACTATTTTAGTTTAACCCTGTCTAGTGTCTCTAAGCTTAAGATTTCTAGTTTTGGCCATACTGAATATTACTTTAAAAAAAAATATACTGTCTTAAAATTAATTCGTTTAAAAGGGAGGTCTTCCTTTATAGTTCAATTTTATTTTTTGTTTCCGAAAGTTAACTTAACCCTTTAAGTTTAATTTATTTTAAAATTGGTAAGCAAGAAAATTGTTCTTTTTGGGACCACATTTCTACTTGTAAATTTTCACCTTTTAAAAACTGCAATGAAAATCCCCTTGAAAACTATTTCCAAAATAATAGGATCAGTGTATTTGTTAAAATTTATTTTTCTTATCGTAACACGTTTCAGCAGATTGATTCTACGGCTTTAAAAAGTGTATCACGAAAGAAAAAAAAAATGCTCTCTGCGAACGCGAGTCTAATGAACTAGTAAAAGATATCAAAAATGACTATATCTGAAATTGGAAATTAAAATTCTTAGTTCTCGCATGTCTCTTAAACTGTTTCTTCGATTTATCGTACTCCATTTCGCGGAATCTTTTTATTCCAAAACTTCCTAACTATTGGGAACAATCCTTCATCAATGCCAGAGAAATAGTTATCTCCCTTACCCTTGGCCATATTCTGTATATTGAAGATAAGACTTACACATTTCATTGTCTATATTAAGATAAAGAACATGAAAATAACCCGGATCTTAGCTTATAAATAGAAAAAATAGTTTGACTTTTACCTCAAACAAGAGATAAATTTATTTCTATGGCCTTAATAACATGACCCTGTATTCCTAACGATTTTTTTCTCTTTTTCTACAGTAATCTAACTTCTGCATTTGATTGAAATTGCATATCCTCCCCTTCCTCGGACGGGACAGTTATATATTCTGAATCCTTATCAATGGTATTTGAATTGAGACGAAATAATGAGCAACTGTTGGACTTTATTTTTTTTTTTTTTTTTTTTTTTAAATCTAAAAGATTTTTAAACTTTACAAGGTTTACAACTTAAAAAAAATACAATTTGAAATTAACCCACTGACTTTGTTACTGCTTGTTAAATCAGATATGGGAATTAGAAATTAAAAAAAAAAAAATTACAAGCATGAAAACTTTTATACTTATATTTGTTGAATAACCCAGCTGCAACATTTATGAAGCCAAATCTTTATTTACATAAACTCATATCGACATGAAATGATTTTATTTACATCAATTAACTTGCTAACATTGTGTTTAATTGACACTGCTTTCTGAGAAATTTTTTTTGTATTAAAAAATATGAAAATTCTATTTTCTACAAAAGCAAATATTTTGTAATACTATTGCCGCCATTATAAACATAAATTCCTGCATGTATATTGTATTATGAAATTTTTTGTATAAAGTTGGATCAAAATGCTGATAAAATTCTGTCATAGGTTGTGGCTCTTTTTTTTTTTTTTTTTTTTTTTTTTTCTTCATCAATGTCTAATGTATTTCAAGTAGGCTATTTAGCCTAACACTTACACTAAAGTCATGTGGCCAACTTTGTACTAGCCATTTGCTGTTATGTATTTATAGCATTTCTGAAATAGTGAATTGACCCATTTATACTGGGAAGAAATGTAATTCAATGGCTTGGGTTTCACATTGCAATTTAAAAAAAAAAAATTACAGGGTGTGTATAAGTCTAAATCTCTATACAAAAAAAAAAAACAATCAAAATCAGCCTTGGTAGGGAAAGTCAGTTGATTTTATAAGTTTGTTGGCTCGGTGACACTTGAACCATGATTGATTGGCAGAAACTAATTTACAAGCTCACTGACGTTTTTTTTATATATACATACATATGTATGTGTATATATGTATATATATATATATATATATATATATATATATATATATATATATATATATATATACACACACACACACACACACAGTGTAACTCTATATAAGAGTTGTCGGGACTGGAGGAGAAGTCTCTTATATCTGGGTTTGGTCTATTTTGTTTAGGTAAGTATGGGAACACTTCATGTAACACTTTTTACGTACAGATCACTAGTTTATTTAACAGTTATAGACATAAAAAAAATACAGACAAAAATACATTTTCAATCAGTTTTCAAAATAATTCAATCAAAAATTACTTTTTCTTAAAGTCATTTTTGATTGTACAGAAATCTTTAACATCATGAACACTTTCATGCAATCTGTAAATCATTTTCAATGCGCCATCAGGATTACTGCTTTTTTGCTTCAAAGTAGGCTGTCAGCTTCAAACACGTTCAATGCAGCCAGAGAATTTGGCACTGGTTTGTCACTTTCAGAAACTTCAGAACTTACGCTTTCAGCTTCGTCAAAATCTTGATCATCCGATTTTATATCATGTGTGATGTCGGTGTCAGTCAGTTCTCCATAACATTGTGTACGGTTGTCGAAGCTGATAAATTCTTCAAAAT